CCTAAACTAAGAGCTCTTATGCATATCGCCATTCATGTAATACTATTCAATGTATGTTTAGTCCCAATAAAGTGCGTAATTGTTTTGTTTGTGTCAATACGGTGGACAGAATTAATACCGGTTGCCGCAAAGCACCCGAACCTAGCACACATTGTTTGGACACTGGTCAACACTGCCAGCAGTTTAAACGTAACAATATAATATGTGTAATGCTTTGTACTAAATGCTCATTCAATTATTGTAATATATTTGGTATTTTAACCATAAACATTAGTGTCCTTTAATGGACAATCAGTATATTATATTATGTAAATGTGTCTAATGTGTGCAAAATGTGTTAAAATTTAATTTGTAATAATTTTATTATAATTATAGACACTAAACGGATTCTTTTTGGATGCTTTTACACAGAAAAAAATAAATAATTTTATTAGTAATATTAAAGTTGTGTTTAATAAAGCATTGAATCATTAAATGAATCAAACATTACTCGTATCTAAAGTTATGTTTTTCTGTGCAAAAGCACCCAAAAAGAATCCGTTTAGTGTCTATAATTATAATTGATTCAAGGGCAAGATAATTCCTGAACACTGAAAAATCCAGAATGTAAATTTTGGATTAATGAGCTGTATAAATTGTGTACCAAACTCTATAGGCTTAGTTTGATGTGTTTTAAATGAGATTTATAGATATCCCTAACAATAGTAGTGTTAAGAACTGTTATAACTATTTGTAAATATGTGTAACCATTGTAAAAACTTTTGAAACAGACGTCATATCACAAAATTCAATAAAAATACTAACATGCATTTTTCTAATAACTAACAACTCAAATCCAGGGAAATTTGCGTAACATTAGCACATTTTTAATTAAATGCCTAAATATTTCTGGAAACGCTAATAATATATTTTTATTAATAAATAAATATTATTTATTATAAATTTATAAATAGGTTTTTATCATTGGAAACGGTAATAATAATTAATAATAATAAAAGAGTTTAATTAACGTTTAGTTTCAATTACCATATGTTTTATCTAATATCAGATATAATTATAATTAAATTGTTTGCCATATTTTAATACATAATATTTCAAACTAAAAACACATCACTTGCTTATTAGTCTATAAATAAGTTTATTAATTATTTATTTAAGATAATTGTGATTTTAAGAAAGCAACTCACGGCTGCTGTACGGCTGCGTCATAGCTTTGGCACAAATTGACAACATATCACTTACAGAGTCTATGCAACGATGGGTAGCCATGTATCACGAGTTAGAGAAAAACACCATGGTGGTGGCCAATGAGGTGATGAAGGCCGATTGGATCAGTCCTGACACCGGGGTGTTTATACAACGTATGCTGACACTCATTGCGGGTCATTGGAAAGTTTGCTCGTCGCTCGACAGATACCACACTATGTTTAATCTCGACGAGTTTGTGTAAATCAGGGTTGATTTAAAAATTAGTATCATAAATCTTAAGAATTTAAAAGTATTTAACTAAATATTTATGATCAGAATAAATCAATTGTGAAACTTATTTTGTAATGACTGAATTATAAATTATATTTTCTAACCATTATATTATTTGATTGCCATCCATACCCCTCATATAATTAAATAATTATAATTAAATTCAAGTTTTAATTAACTTTCACTTTTAATTTTCATATGTTAAAATAATAATTAATTTGTTATTCATTTTTCAATACAGTTCTAATAAAAAAATACAAATACAAATGTCAGACAACAAACATCAAGAATCAGCCCAACGTAAATACCAGGTGCCCAATGAAATGGCGACCATATTCACAGTAAAGCGCAATGCATTGCATAATATAGAGCCGATGGCCGGTGCGGCCCACCAATGGTTAAGAGAGTGCAGTTTATTTACGGACAGACAATACAAGCGTATGAAAAACACATCTAATGTCTGCGCCTATTTCTGGCCATTTTTCGCCGCACCGGACAGGTATGACACACTACTCAAGTTTGTGATACATCTGTATATAGTGGACGATCACACGGAGTGCCGGTACGGGGATATGTATCGTCGGCAGTCAGATGTGGGCACCATTTACGGCCAATTGTACGCCGCGTGCGATAAAGTGTTGGCCATCGGTGGACAGCACGTGCCCGCACACCACTGGAAGCCCTATGTGTTGGGCGCGTACGCTATCTATGACACAGTCTGTGCCGCGTATAACGACATACAGAAGCGACGATTTATTAAATATATAAGAGGTTATTACGAGGGCAGTGTCGCCGAGTGCCAGCATATAGACCGGAAGCGACAATTTGACAACCTTGATGAATTTTATGAAGTAAGCTTTGACAAATAATAATTATTATGGTAATTATAAATATTTGATAATTAATATAATAATAATTATAAATATGGTAATTGTAAATAATTTAATTTATATAACTATAAGGTTAGAATCAAATCGGCCGGAGTTGAAGCGGCCCTTCAACTCATTGAGTACGCGGACGGACTGTACGTACCGGAGAACGAGTGGCGGAACCCTATATTTCAGCGATTGTTTGAAATGCTGTGCCGTTTGGTTGTCATCTGTAACGACATGTACTCATTCGAGAAGGAGGTGTTGGACGCCGGGAGTGCGGACCGGGTGTACGGCTGCGTCACAGCGTTGGCACAGATTGAAAATATATCGCTCACAGAGTCTATGAACCGATGGGTAACCAATTATAATCTGTTGGAGAAAAGCACCATGGTCGTGGCCGATGAGCTGCTAGAGGCCGACTGGACCAGTCCGGACACCCGGGTATTTATTCAACACGGATTGGCCCTAATCGGTGGTAATTGGAAGGTTCACTCATTCCTTGACAGATATAACACTATGTTTAATCTCGAAGAGTTTGAGTAGACTAACATTATGATAAATGACTGTTGTGATACATTATAATTTAGTTGAAATATTTGTTATTAAAATTAGTATTTTTGTTATAAATTTATTATTATTAATATTTTATATTAACAATAATGTTTAAAGTAGTAATTAAAAAATTTCAAGCAAGTGTATTTTGAGCAAGTGGTTTTCAAGCAAGTGTCCATAAACCGTTGTAACAATATACTATGTTTTGGTAAACATAAATTATTTAGCTAAAAACATACTTTTAATAGAAAATAATAAATTTTTGTTGTAATATCTCAAAATTAGATAATTAAATATAGATTATTAATCTAAGATTAACAACATTAGTAAAATACAATTAATAAATGTCAGAAATATTATTTTCAAATACAAAGAGATGCGTTATTTTATATATTTATGTCTATTTTGAATGTAGTCTTCAATAATTGCCGGTAGTTTTGCAATACTATTATCCGTTTGTATTCTTTGCGATATTTTTTGTAACTTTTCATTCATTTCTTTGTCGTTCAGTAGTTTTTCGATTGCATTCAAGAACTCAGACTCAGTGGACATGTATGGGTTCAATCGGACACCAAACCCCTTGTCCTGTACTCTCTGTGCGTTATCGTATTGATCACCAAATAGTGGCAAAACTATCATTGGTTTACCGAAATACATGGTTTCGGTGAATGTGTTGTTCCCGCCGTGGGTTATAACCAAATCAACTAACGGTAAGACTTGGATCTGTGGGACAGACCCCTCGCCCCACATATTATCAGCCAACGAGTACTCGTCATGAAGGGGTCCTTTCGATACAATAAACCTGTGCTTAGATTTGGACAAAATATTCACTAATCTCTTCATATTGTCCACATCTGCCGCACCCATAGATCCCAATGAAAAGTA